TCGATGTGGTTTCATATCCAGCCAAAAGAAACATCCACGCATTCACGGCAATCTCTTCGTCTGTTAATTTCGCCACGTCATCTTTCTCAGAATCCACTTTGCCAGATGCTTCATTTAAAATGTCCCCTCTTCCAGATCATGTAAGTTATGACGAACATGTTAAACGACTGTTTGACAGCCGGAGAAGTATTGATGTTTTACCCAGCTTTAAAAGGATCTCCATCCTGTACATCAGTCACAGACGTAAAACTGCTGTCTGTTTGAGACTGCAGGAGTAACTGCAGAACATCAGTCACAGTGTTGTAAGCCTGTTGAAATAATCCATTTCAAAAGGAGTAGTTCAACTCCTACAAAAACGTACTATAGAGCTATTTCATTTCGTCGAAGACACACTTCGAAGTTACTTTACATTTCGGACATGTCTTCACCTGTCTGAAATATATTATTTTCAGTTTTAAATCTGAGAAAACTTCCTTGAAGCTCAACTTCAGATTTTTTTTCTTCAAGAAATTCCAATATATAGCTGCTTACAGGTCCTTTACTTAATTTGTGCAAGACAAATTTAGTTTTGAGGAATTTATGGCAGGTATTTACAAATGTTCCTGATCTTGAAGAATTAAATTGAGCTTTGCCGGTCCGCAGAAAATTTTATGAAAATGTTCAGGTCCGGGAGCAAAGAAGGTTGGGAAGACTGGTATAAACTACAAAAACTAGGGCCGTGCGAGGGAAATTTTTCACGGAAATCAAGAAAATGTTCAAGTGTCCACTGTGAAGATGTAACCAGGTTTCATTATTATGCTTATAAATCTCTTCGGAGATGTAGCGTTCGCTGAAATGGAACAACTGTTGTACAGTAAGGTACTTGGAATGAAAAGAATGGAACAGCCATGGCGGAATGCAGATGAAGGATCGGAAAAAAGATAGATATACCTCCGGGTTTTGACGTCGCGTTTTCATCACCTTCAAAATATTTTCACAAATGATTCTTTCGATCTTGGGTCCACGCGAAAAAAGTTGATACAACGGAAATATGATGGCTTCCAACGCTGGAAAGCATATGATTAATAACATTAGCGGAGGAATCCTGCCACCAAAGAATTGCTTCGCAAGACGCAGCATGTAATTCTGCGAAAGAAGTAAGGATATCAAACCTCCGTCCAAAGATTTTCGCATGGAGATACAAACATCTTTGTTGGTTTGACAGTCGATATTCATGGCAAGGGCGCAGCGTCCAATAACATCCAAGGTGAGGGCCTGGAAATTTGAGTAAATGTCGAATCCTTCTCCGGACTGCGCCTTAGCCTCCACGACNGAAAATGTTCAAGTGTCCACTGTTCAAACTTTACAAAGTTTAATTATGCTCATAAATCTCTTCGGAAATGTAGCGTTCGCCGAAATGGAACAACTGTTGCATTGTACAGTAATTGGAATGAAAAGAATGGAACAGCCTTGAGGGAATGCTGATGAAGGATCGGAAAAAAGATAGATATACCTCCGGGTTTTGACGTCGCGTTTTCATCACCTTCAAAATATTTTCACAAAGGATCCTTTCGATCTTGGGTCCACGTGAAAAAAGTTGATACAACGGAAATATGATGGCTTCCAACGCTGGAAAGCATATGATAAATAACTCTAGCGGAGGAATCCTGCCACCAAAGAATTGCTTTGCAAGACGCAGCATGTAATTCTGCGAAAGAAGTAAGGCTATCAAACCTCCGTCTCAAGATTTTCGTAAGGAGATACGAGCATCTTTGTTGGTTTGACAGTCGATATTCATGGCAAGGGCGCAGCGTCCAATAACATCCAAGGTGAGGGCCTGGAAATTTGAGTAAATGTCGAATCCTTCTCCGGACTGCGCCTTAGCCTCCACGACTTCATTCATCAAGTTGACACAATCGTCCATCATTTCGTAAATCTAAGAATCGAACAAATTGATATCTTCAGAATTCTCCTACATCGAGCATGCTGAAAGCTTGGGTAATTTGAATTTCATTTTTCAAGTAATTCAATCTGCCCATCTATAACAACGCATCACCTTCTTGAGCTTCCGGCTGGAGAACGTCGGACTCAAGATTTTTCGTACACCCTTCCAACGTTCATTAGTCAAGTTGACCAGCATTTTAGTTCTTCCCAATATCTGTATAAATCGATCAACATGAAATAATTTTATAGAGACGTAAAATAAGCAACAGTACTAACGGGACGATTCGTGAAAACTTGAAAATCTTTGACGAGGATTTGTTGAATCACGTCAAGGTCTCCGATCACAACGCGCTTCCGCAATCCATTGTATTTCCTACGTATGACCAACATCTTTCAAAGCGCTGTTCATAAACTTGATGATATCTCTTACTGACCCAAAAACTTTCCCATACTTCTTGATCCAATCTTCCTGAACAAGGTGGCCGGCCTGGAAAATCGACATAGAATACATCAACGCACCTTTCGTTTAGGAAGATCAGAAGAATTTCAGATAGTTCCATCCCAAAAGAAATTCAGATGGAGCACATAAAAATTTCCAAAACTTCACCTTTCCGCCGAATTCAGTTTGTAAAAGATTTCCGAAGACAACGTTTGTTGGAGGTACAAAAATCCCATGATTCTGCAAGTCTAGCAAAATCGCCCTTCTTGAACTGAAAATTTATAAAAATTCACGCATTACGCTCAGCAAAATAAATTACAGTAAAATGTTGTTCACTTACAGGTACACATAAGTTAGCAAGACGATGAGTACTCCAATCAAAAACAACGTCAGCATGCTTCGATTTTCTCACCGCACTGCAACTGAAGCGATTTTTTTCCAACAAGAAATAATAAATCACTATTCGCGAAAAGTAAAATAGGAAGAAAATATGCCACGCTCACGATAAGTTAAAAATTTAAGATCGAACAATTGAAGCGAACGAAACACATACGCAAGCGAACACGAGCACTAGGGAAACAAATATGACATTGAAGATAAAAAGGAATTGCACAAAGCGAACAAAGAGGAACAAATTCAATTCAGTTTCCATAAAAATGTTCTAGATTCTAAAACATTCGCATGGTAACTACAAAAATCGAACTCGACATTCGGAACAGCAAAAAAAAAAAAAAGAAACGACCGTAGCCATGGCATCAATAATGAACATATTTCTTCGAAGAAATAATCGATTCAAATTATAAATAAATTGATCATCGGTTAAGCAACAGAATCTGATCACAAAATTACTTGGGCGTGTCAGACGGTGGTCCAGGCGGAAATGTTGGGCTTCGATTTCGCTTGAAACGATGAACGATTACTTCAAGCATTCGGGACAATTTGAAGAAATTTAGTTACTCACCCTCGAGAGTACTTGCCACGAAACTATGGCAGCAAAAACAGCCAAGATGAAAGGGAACGTCAACCAGAACATTGTCTAGAAAATAGTGCGCATAAACAATCACATCTACTGCTCATGCATAAATTTTTTTCAACCAGGTGCGCGAAGAGCCGACGAGGACCGGAATTATTCCCGTTCAGCCTTCTTCACGAAACTTAAAGGCACTCCAATACTTCATGACAAGCATATCGTACAACTAATGAGCGAACGTCTGAGCACACTGTCACATGTAAAAATCCGAAAGTCGTTTCAAGAATCGCAAGATGCTCAACGTGCTTAAAAAAATATCAAACAATCGCAAGACAAGGAAGCTAATGCTTCAATAAACACAATAAAAACCGAGGAAAGCAATGAAGGATGAAACCTCAAATATATTTTGCATTTGTCTACCCCGTAGAAACAAAACGCGTTCCAAATGGCTTCAAAATGTTTGAAAACCTAAAAAGCATTCCCCGAATAGCACAAATATGATATCCTGAATCCGAACACGGAATCTTCATTCTGACGATAGCTTCTTTGCCTGGACCCATACCCCTTCGGACGGGTACATAATGGCGAAACGCAACTCGGTCGGCAAAGGATCCTACGAAAGTATAAAGCATCGTGAAGTTATTGCTTGAAAAAATAAATCGCGAGCAAACTATAGGGCGTCCAGAAACTCGTTGTATTGAAATGCGTTCAAGGCACGAAACAATTTAGAAACGTGTTTTTACGCACAATAATACAGATCCTGGAAATTTCAAGAAGAAGGCTGACATTTCCGCACAAAACCTTGCGCATTGCTGCACATGCTACTACTGGCGGATGGCGTGAGAGATCGGTATGATTTGATTTTTTTTTTAATTAACAACTTCAATTTATCCTTTTCCACTGATCAGCAGCTTTCACACCTTATTCAACTAACATGTCGTCACCGAAGCAGAAGAGGTAGTAATCGATCGATGCAATCTCACGGATTGTGTCAAGCTTAACAGACTAACCGGATAAAAAACCACTTCATCTCACCTTAAATTTTTCTGGATCTGGGACAAATGAATATTCAGCCAGTAGCTTCGCAAGGCACAGTTTTATCTCCAGAACTGCAAATCTCAACCCTATGCATATTCGAGGACCAGCTCCAAAAGGAAGGAACGCCATCGGGTGTCGTTTAGCTTTCTCCTCCGGAGTAAATCTAAAAAAGAAATTAACAAATAAATATAATTTTTAAAAATAAGAAAATTGCCTCACCTTTCCGGGTCAAACTTTTCCGGATCGGGATAAAGTTCAGGGTCATGATGTATCTGCCACACCGGAACTTCGACAACTGCATCTTTCGGAACCACCATGCCTTGATATCCAGGAATGGGGTAATCTTGAGCGCTTCTTCGTGAAACAAACCTAGGACCGGGAAAAATAAATCATGAAACGTACTTCCAAAATTGACGTTACTTTCCAGTAATAGGAAGAAAATTTATGACTCGTTTCCTGGTCGATCATGATCACACTTACATGACTACCGATGGGTTTATCCTCATGCTCTCATCCATGACTTTCTCCAAATATTCCATTTTGCTGAGAAGTCCGTAAGTGATGCTCTTCGACGCTTCTTTCAAATTGTCAATACCTGTAACTTGACGAATTTCCATCCGAATTTCTTCTTGAATTTCAGGGTGCTTCGCCAAGTGGAACATCGTGAAAGCAAGAGTGGTCGATGTGGTTTCATATCCAGCCAAAAGAAACATCCACGCATTCACGGCAATCTCTTCGTCTGTTAATTTCGCCACGTCATCTTTCTCAGAATCCACTTTGCCAGATGCTTCATTTAAAATGTCCCCTCTTCCAGATCATGTAAGTTATGACGAACACGTTAAACGACTGTTTGACAGCCGGAGAAGTATTGATGTTTTACCCAGCTTTAAAAGGATCTCCATCCTGTACATCAGTCGCAGACGTAAAACTGCTGTCTGTTTGAGACTGCAGGAGTAACTGCAGAACATCAGTCACAGTGTTGTAAGCCTGTCGAAATAATCTGTTTCAAATGGAGTAGTTCAACTCCTACAAACACATACTAGAGCTATTTCATTTCGTCGAAGACACAATTCAAAGTTTGTCATTTCTGTCTTTGAAAAAATGTTTTGCCGGTCCGCGTGAAAATTTCTTTAGCATGATAAATTTGTAGAAGGTAGTCATGAAGCCTGTTATCCTTAATTATCCGAAAATTCGGAAAAAATTGCAGTTGAAATTATGTGTGAAAAAAAATAAAAGTTAGTTTTTAATTACCAGACATGTCTGGACCTGTCTGAAAATATTATTTTCAGTTTTAAAACTGAGAAACCTTCCTTGAAGCTCAACTTTATGCTGTATTTTTTTTCTTCAAGAAATTCTGATACACAGCTGCTTATTGGTTCTTTACTTAATTTGTGCAATACAAGCTTTATTTTGAGGACTTTTTGTCAGGTATTCAAAAAATTTCCTGGTCTTCAAAAATTAAATGGAACTTTGCCGGTCCGCAGAAAATTTTATAACAATTTGACGGTCCGCAAAATATTTTATAAAAACATTTGCCCGGTCCGCGAGAAAAAAAGGTTGGGGAACGCTGGTATAACCTAAAGAAATTAGGGCCATGCGAGGGAAGTTTTTCACGGAGATCAAGAAAATGTTCAAGTGTCCACTGTTCAAACTTTACAAAGTTTAATTATGCTCATAAATCTCTTCGGAAATGTAGCGTTCGCCGAAATGGAACAACTGTTGCATTGTACAGTAATTGGAATGAAAAGAATGGAACAGCCTTGAGGGAATGCTGATGAAGGATCGGAAAAAAGATAGATATACCTCCGGGTTTTGACGTCGCGTTTTCATCACCTTCAAAATATTTTCACAAAGGATCCTTTCGATCTTGGGTCCACGTGAAAAAAGTTGATACAACGGAAATATGATGGCTTCCAACGCTGGAAAGCATATGATAAATAACTCTAGCGGAGGAATCCTGCCACCAAAGAATTGCTTTGCAAGACGCAGCATGTAATTCTGCGAAAGAAGTAAGGCTATCAAACCTCCGTCTCAAGATTTTCGTAAGGAGATACGAGCATCTTTGTTGGTTTGACAGTCGATATTCATGGCAAGGGCGCAGCGTCCAATAACATCCAAGGTGAGGGCCTGGAAATTTGAGTAAATGTCGAATCCTTCTCCGGACTGCGCCTTAGCCTCCACGACTTCATTCATCAAGTTGACACAATCGTCCATCATTTCGTAAATCTAAGAA